CCATGCTTTTGCCTTGCCGCTATCATGCGAAGGCACCCGAGTTGGTCGAGGTTCTTTACGCCGGTTGGATCCGAACCAAGGGTTACCCCAAGGAAATCGTTTGCGACCGGGATACTCGGTTCATGTTCAATTTTTTGTTGGCGTTCATCAAACGATGGGGCTTATCTCTCAAGCCAAGTTCGGCTTGCCACCCCCATACCGATGGCCAAACGGAGAGGGCGCATCAGACCGCACAGGTTCTCCTTCGCACTCTCATCCATCCCAACCAAAAGGATTAGGTTGAGCGGATGCCGGATGTCGAGTTGGCATACAACTCGTCCATCCACCCGACTATCGAGATGTCGCTCTTCGAGTTCGAGCACGGCTCGTCGGTCACTTCACCGTTGGACATAATCATTCCACGAACGGCCGAGAATGACGACCATCTTCTTTTCTTGTGTCTTATGCAAGAGCTACTTATCAAGGCACGTGACCAGATGGCTAAGACCCAACAACGCATGAGCCAACAGGCCAATCGCCAGCATCTTCCTTGCCCATTCCGCGCTGACGATCTCGTTTGGGTTTTCGACACGGAATTCATCCTTGAACAAGACATCTCTCGCAAGCTCCTCCCGAAATGGATGGGGCCCTGGCCGATGTGGTACCCGCAGGGGATGCACTCGAAGGACCTTCCTTCACCATTCAGGTGCCCGCCCACTTGCCCGTCTACCTGGTCTTTCATTGCTCCAAGTTGGCTCTTTACACGCCAGCGGAACATGACGATTTTCTCGGGCACCGATTGCAAGACCCACCCTTTATGGACGGTTTTTAAGAGGTCGGCGACATCATCTCCCAGCGACGGTACGGCAACAGGCCAACCGAGTACTTGGTACACTTTGCGTACTGCACTCACAAAGTTGACCGTTGGTTGACCCGTGGGAACTCCAAGCAACAACTCTGGATGTTCTCGCACACTACGAACACAAAATGCAAGGCAAGTCGGTATCTTCGTCTCCACGTCGCACCCGCATCCACGTTCCACCTTCAGATCGTCAGCTTCGCCCTCGCCCCAGCATGACTTCATAAGGAGGGGGGGGCGTTACATGTTGTGCGGCACAGGCCACTTTCAGGCCGGTGACGTTTTCAGATCCAAAGCTTGAAAACAAGGGCCTACAGGCCCCATCATGATGTCGTTTCAGCCTGGAAGCCTGAAAACAAGGGTCTACAAGCCATGTGTCGTTTCAGGCTAAATCATGGTCTTTCCGGCCCTGAGTGTTTTCAACTTGAAACTGAGGGCCATTTTCAGGCCCTCATCAGTTCGACCCGCCCTGAAACCCAGGCAACAAACCAGGGTTTTAGCACAGGCCATTTTGCGCATGTTTTCAAGACAACCCCTGGTTGAGCTCCAACGCCAGGGTCTGGCACGTTTCGGCATTGGCAAGAGCAACCTGCTGGACGGGCCAGTACTATATAGGATTGGCCAGCCCTGCAGGCCGGTAGGTAGTTCCTAGGTATTTCCCAGGTACTTCACGTGTAGTTCAGGAAGTAGGAGGTAGTCTTCATGATTCGGCAACAACACTCTGGAGGAGTGTTGCAGGAGTAGTTGTAGCGTTAGCAGTAGTCTTTAGCGCTCGGCACTAGTAGCATTAGCAGTAGTCTTTAGCGCTCGGCACTAGTAGCATTAGCAGTAGTCTTTAGCGTTGGGCGCCATAGGAGCTAGAGCAGTACTAGAGAGAGAGAGATTGGACAGAGGCCAGAGAGACTTACCTGCAGAGCCATCGCTCCAACTTCGTCTTCAAGATACCAGCAGCACAGCGCCATCTTCACAAGTTAGTACCTGGCACATGACAGAGAGAGAGAGAGAGTTCTTCTTCTTCCCCTTCTCAGTCCACCATCTCCCTCTCACCCTCGCGCTATCTGACTTCACCAGTGTCGTACCCCCGTTCACCGTTCACGGGGTCTGTGAACGGAGCCGGTCATAGAGTTCACGGAGTTCACGACACGGGAGTTCATGGAGTTCACGGAGAG